ATGAAAATACCTCCCACAGTGCCTGGCACTTAGTTGGCAACTGAATTATGAGTAGCTTTCCTTCCTTCTTTCCTGCATACCTAGGCAGTTGGCTCAGGAAAAGTTTGAGCTATTAAACACACTAGCCTCAGGACTTCCCTGGCAGTCCAGTGGTTAAGACTCCACATTTCCACTGCAGGGGACACAGGTTCAATTCCTGGTGGGAGAACCAAGATCCTGTATGCCATGAAGCCAAAAACAAAAAACAACAACAAAAAAACCACTGACCTCTAAAATCTGAAGGGGAGGTTTTCAAAACAAATTCAGCAAATGTCTTCTATGTGCCCACATACAAGACACAAAGTAGGCCACAAACTTCTGGGGCCCTTCATGAATATAAGGGGCAAGGATATGCCCAAAAATAACATACCTCAAAGAGGGACAAACCAGGTGCTGGGGGCAGGGCAAGCTTGGTAGAGGAGTAAGATATTTGGTAGAGACACAAACTAGACAGGTGGTTCCTGCAGCTTTGGGGCACTCAGTTTCTCACTTCCAACAAGCTTACTTAGCTGTGAATGAGTGGGCATTTTCTTATCTGCGGGAAGGGCTACAAATTGGTGAGTCTGGTTAACCAATCATACACTCTTGGATGGTCATTCTCAACCCATTGTCAATGGCAGGGAAGAACTACTTCGAATCCTTATAATGTGTCAGGCAGTGTTCTAAGCACTATGCAAGCACGAACTAAACGAACATGGTTGGAAAAATCCCCTGGAGGAGGAAATGGCAACCCACTCCAGTATTCTTGCCTGGAGAATTCCACGGACAGAGGAGTGTGGCAGGATATAGTCCATGGGGTCTCAAAGAGTTGGACGTGACTTGAGTCACTAAAAACTAAAAATCAAAAATAAGGATTCCATGAAATAAGGACTAGTATTGTTTCCATTTTACTGGAAATGGTCCATTAGCAAGTGTTAGAGCTGGAATTAGACCACAAGGTCTGCTAGCTCCAAAGTCTGTGTCTTTAACTACATTCTAGACTTTCTTTCCTGGAAAAATAAATCATGGCTAGAAAGATCTAACCACAGAATCCTAGGATGGATGTTCAAGATTTATTTTAATAGAATCAAGCAATGGTTTCATGTTTAGCTACTGCTGGATGTGAATGAATAGGTAACAGAGTCTAATTCTTGCTACTGTATAAAGAAAGGTCAAAAATGGGAAAGAACAGACTTGTAAGAGACTTGTACAGTTCCCCGTGCTCTCACTGAAACTCCAAAGTGATACCTGGGGGTGGATCCCACCCCTCCCTAGTATGCCTGAGCCTGAGCTCCCTGCCTCAGTTTGCACTCATCAGAAGCCAGCCCTGGACTAGAAACCAGCCCAGCCTCCAGAAAAGACAGACAACCCACCAGGAATGTGGAAAGCCTAACAGTTGGGTTTCTATTCTATCATGGGTTTCTATTCAGCTTTAAAACCTTGCGGTCTTCTTAGACCCTACCTTGCTCCCTCCATCCCATATCCAGGGCCATTCCTGTCACCCTGCCCTAACCATGACAAAAGACATTTCCTCTGGTTGGTGCCTCCTTCCCCATTCCTATCACTAACAAGCTCAGCTTAGGGCCCAAAGTACCCTACTCCAGACTGGTGCTCTTCCTCACCCTTGTCCAATCCATCGTGCCCACCAGAAACAGACTGATAGTCTAAACATAAAATACCCACATCACGCCACTAAACTTACAGTCTCTACTGCAGACCGGAAAATTCTACAAGCCTGGCATTAAACCCTCCACAGTCTAGCTTCATGCACCTTCTCAGCCTTACATTCCACTTCCTACAGCTCCCACACCTTCCAATCTTGGTCTCCACCATACATATCAAGTCACCACCCCTTGTGAACATCTTGAAACTCACCAGCCTTTGCAATTGTACTCCCACAGTTTCTCCCTTACCAGGATATCAACCTGCTAAATTCCGTCTCTCTTTCTTTAACCTACCTAAGATTTCTCAAATCTTACCCTCAAGTATTCCCCGAACAAATCCGGTAGCCACTCCGGACACTGTGCTGTTCTTCAAACATGCCAAGCACATACCTGGCTCAGGGTCTTTGCTCATTTTCTTGTATTCCTTGTCTGAAATCTTCTTCCCCCAGATATGCTTCATTTCTCTGCTCAGATGGCATTAACCACAGAGGTTCCCGTGACCTCCCATTGCACCTATGCCTTCATCATACTTCATTTCTCTTCAGAGCATTTACCCCTGACATATGATATTCATATATTTACTTACTGTCTATCTCTCACCACCAGAACATACACTTCACGAGGGAAGGGATTTGATCTCTCTTGCTCTGTGCTGAATCCCCCAGGCCTAGAAGTGTTTGGTATACAATAGGAATTTAATATATATTTGTGGGATGAATGAATGAATAAAGTTCTCCTTCACCTTTGAAATTCCCTAGTGTTATCACTTGAAAGCTTCCCTGGTGGTTCAGATGATAAAAGAATCTGCCTCCAATGTAGGAGATGTAGGTTCCATCCCTGGGTCAGAAAGATCCCCTGGAGAAGGGAATGGCTATTCACTCCAGTATTTTTGCTGGGAAATCCCATGGACAGAGGAGCCTAGAAGGCTACAGTCCATGGGGTCACAAAGAGTTGGACATGACTGAGTGACTAATACACACACACAAAATGTTATCACCTACAGGACTCATAATAGCTTGCCTTGATTTGTTTATTTTTTCCTTAATTATTCTAAATAGTGAATTTCTCAAAGGCACAAATCACATATTATTCATTTCCACAAATATTTACTAAGGGCCTACTGTGTGCCAGACCCTGTACACCTCAAGGACTTTGGGCTATTGGAAAGAGCACTGGACAGGTCAAAGGTTAGTCCTGGCTCTACCACTAGTTGAGTGACCCTAGACAAATCCATCTTTCTCCCTGGGCCTCAGTTTCTTTACATGTAAAATGAGGAGAGTTGCATTATCTCTAGCATCTGTTAACACTTGGGCCCAGCTCAGTGCCTTAGACATCACAGGTACTCAGCAAATATCTGATTTCTTTGTTGTTGATTCTCCTGTTACACAGGAATCTGAGTTGTCTTGGAACACAGTTCAGACATAACAAGTAAAAGTTTAAGTCCTACTTCCTTCTCTGACTCCATGGGCAACTTCATTCTAGTGTTTGTGATATAGAGAGGATGATGCACCAAATTTGAAGCTAGAAAATATGAATTCTGACCACTGCCATTTACTTGGCTTTGGAAACTTGAATAAGCAATTTCTGAACCTTAGTCTCCTCTTCCATAAAACAGCCATATTGACCTTCTCATAGCTCTTCAAAGGTACCACATGCCCTCCTGCCTCGGGGCCTTTTTATGTTCCCTCTGCCTGGAAAGTTCTTTGCCCTTTCTTAGCTGGACTAACTTCTACTTATCTTCAGGGCTCAGTATAAACTTGCTTTTTAAAGGAATGTATTCCCTATCCACTCCCCTTGCCCCTGGTGCAATCTTACTGCAATTATCTCAATTGCTCACCTCAGTTATTATGGCATTTATCTCAATTGTCACCTCATTTATTTACTGTTCATCTCTAGGAGTGTAAGCACCACAAAGGTAAGAACTGTGTCTGTTTTGTTTATCTTTATACTTCTCAGTGCTTGGCTAAATGCGTGGTCCAGAAGTATCCAATAAATATTTTTATGGAAGAATGTACAAACTAATGCATCCAGAGGCACTAATACCTCCAGACAGCTTTTCGGTTCCTTCAGAGAAAGAGCCAATAAACATTACTGCACTCTAAGATCTTTCACAAGTTTCTGAGAATCAAGGTTCAAGACAGGGAACCGACATTACCTAGAGGTTAGAAAAATTAGAAATCATTTGAGATAAAGAAACTCTGAAAGCTAAAAAAAAAAAAAAAGTAAAACAGGAAGGGACAGGCAACATGTCTACCCCTAGTCCTCTTTCTCCAGAAGCCTATTATCAAGAATAAGGGGAAAATGCCATGCTCCCACGGTGAGGAAGTGACCCATTGGTGGCCTGCTCCTTGTATTCAGGATGGAGGAAGTGACTGTCCACAGGCTGAAAGCCAGGAAGCGGGGGCAGATATCCAGGACAGTCTCCCTCCTCCACTATTCCCTCCTGCCAGCTCTAGAAAGCTTCTGGATGCTGACCCTGGTCGACCTAGAGGCTGGGCCACCCACACAGGTGGCTGGGAAACAGTAAGGTCCTGGTGCTGGGGGACAGACAAGGAGGGCAGGAAGCTGCAGGGTGGTGTGAGGTGATGGGGAGGGGACTGCAGGCCCCACCAACCTAACCCTGAAGCTACCCTTCACCCTTGGATACTTCCTTTTAGGAGGTGTTGGCCCACATTCCTCTCTGCTCTCAGAGGGGCCCCCGTGAGGGCCCGGGGGCGGGGGCGCGCGCAGAGCCTACTTGCCCCAGAAAGATGCACTCTCTCCCTACCCTCAATCGCTGCCTAAACCCCCAAGGAACCCACACTGCTTACTTCCTGCAAAGAACCCCAACCTCCAGGAGACCGACCTTAACATACCCGCCAGAAGCCTTGGATCCCATGGGGAAAGCCATACTCTCTGCAACTTTCCACAGAAAACCCATTACCCGGGGTAACTCTCCATTCCCTCCTGGCCCAAACTCTGAGGTTCCCGTACTCTCCGTGTTCTCTCAAACCCCTCACTGCAAGGAAACCCGGGCTCCTCAGCTTCCACAGTTTTAATTTGGGGACCTGCAGCCGCCAGGGCCACAGAGAAAGATGCTCCCCGGCATTCCCCCGCTCAGGGACCTCAGCTCGCGAGAAACCGACCCTCTCCGCTAGCCCCCCGCTTCTCGCGAGCCCTCTTCCCCGCCCCCCACAACCTCCGAGTCTTCGGGGAGGGCTGAGCTCACTCACCAAACTACCCCTCTGAGGAGCGGGGACCACACAGAAACCCCCGAGAGGTCGCCAGCTCCCCTCAGGCGCTCCGAGCCCAGAACAGAACGGCGCGGCCCTTTCTTACCCGCCTGCGCCGCCATGGACCCGGAGGCGCGAAGAGGAGGAAGACACCGCTGCCACACCAGCTCCGCGAAGCTCCCGCCGCCGCCTCAGGCGCGGGAGGACCTCAGCCCCGGGCTCGAGCGGGTTACGCCGCCTACGGCGCCCGGGGAGGACCAAACCCGCACCTGGCACGGGGGCCCGCCCGCCGACGCCCCGCCCAGCCAAGGCCAGGCCCCGCCCCCTTGCCTCGGGCTCTGTGGCGGCCCTAGCGCCCCCTAGCGCTAGAGGCGCCCGCCTTGGGTGCCCGAACTGGTGAGGGCGATTCTGAGCAGGCCTGAGATCTCAACTCAGAGGACCCTCTACCCATTTTAGGGATGAAGAAAACAGAGGGCTAGAGGGTAAAGTTTGACTATCTCAAAATGAGCTGAGCTGGAATGGGAACACAGGCTCTTAATCTCCAGTTCAAAGCTCTTTTCAATAGAGTGTTTGGAATCAAGAATATGAATCTGGAGAAACCAGGTTTACCCCTCAAATAGCTTTGGGGAGGGTGGTGGAGGGTGAGCTTTTCTTAGAAGTTTAAGGCTCAGAGAAGTCACTTGTCTGTGCCACTAGAAGCAAGCTCACACTCGGTGGCAGATCCTCAGTAAGCCAAGTATGTATATAAATGACTCCCAAACACCAGACCTTCCAATGGAAATATACCTGTGGTCTGGATTTACCCTTTTCAGACTCCTCTTTGTAGAGAAGAGCCCTGGACCAGGATTTAGGACAGCAGACAGGTTTCTGGCAGCCACTACCTGGCTGATGGCCTTGAGAACCACTTCCCTCACTGGATTTGGTTCCCTGTGTGATGAAGAGTTGACCACATCGGCTGGTCCCTGAGGTCCTTCCTGTCTGATTCTCTTGTGCTAGGTCTTTCCTTAGATCAGATTTAGGTCATGAGAAAGTGTACAAATGACCAGGAAGGGACAGGAAGGGGGCCCAAGGAAATGAATCAGGACACTCCCGCCAAGGACGAAGTTCAACCCAGCCGACTCCAGTCCTAGCAAAGGTGAGCACAGTTCTCTTCCCTCCTGCCCTGACCATGTAGTCCAAACCAGATGCAAGTCAGATGGGCCCCTGACGTCCTGAGTGTGAAGAAAGTGCTGAGGGGCAGTAGGGGAGATGCGCCTAACTTCTGTTAGTTCCTGGGAACCCTCTTCAGCAGCTGGCTTTAGTGTCTGAGGAAATCTCTGCTCTGATACACTAAAGACGAAACTCTGTGTTGAGTTAAAGTGATGGGGATCCAGGGAACTCTCCTGACAAGCCACCTCAGGGCTAGACAAAAGGCGCAGGACTTTTATTTGTCCTGCACATGGAAGAGATTACACTGTATTTTCCCAGACACCCAGGCACTGGCAGCCTTGGAATCAAGACCCCTGGCAGGCTTTCCCTCTCCCTCTGCCCCACAGCAAGGTACCCAGGTCTGTTTAATCTCCATCCTCACTCTCTCTCACTTCTTTCCCATCTCCAGCCTCATTGTCTTCACCCACTGGGCGTGAGGGGATAATAACTCCCCCAAGTTGCCCCCTGGGAAGTTGAGGGAACTCTGAGAAACGCCAAGTTAAATGTAAAGGGAGAGAACAGCAGTCTATAGAAATGATATAACCCAAAGAAAGCTTTTCAACATGGACACAAAGAACATTTCAGAAGCACTTATGAACTCAAAGGGAGTTCTGGAGGGCAGAAAAAGCCTGTGCGTGCAGGGAGAAGGCCCCCTGCGTTTCTGGTATCAAGTCAGCTGTCCAGTTTGACTACATGACCACAGCTTGGTCAGTCCTTGAGGCCAGATACTGCTGACTGACTGACTCACGATCAACTGACTGGGCCGACAGAAATGGGAGCCTCGGCCATGACACCACCTTAAGGTTCAAACTCTGACATCCTGAGGGAACTGGTTTACTGGTCGACAGCTAGACACTCCCAGTGTCACTTCCATGTGCTTCCAACCAACTCAGTCTAGGATCTCTAATCTCCTCTCCCTGAATCATCCTACCTAAAATGGACTGATGAATCGTCCCAAGTTATGCTTCTGTCACCTCTCTGCTCACCTCTCTGTAATAGCTCCCCACTGCCTACACAGTAACAGCCAAACCAGGCCCTCATGAGCTAACCACATCTCAGCCTACAGCCTTCTCTTCCTACTCCTGTCACCCCAGGACTCTGCTTTCTCCTGAATGCATTCTGCCCTATACCATTCTGCCATTCCTACAGCCACCAGCTGTGCCCACTGACCCCACTGCTCCCCATGTTCTCTGTACTTTTGTTGTCCCATTCTGCAAGAAGAGCAGTCTTGTTTCTAAACTCTTAACACATTGTTATTTTCAATTATATCATTTTGCAACCCCTGTGAACTAATCTAAATCTGCACTGTCCAGTGTGGTAGCCACTAGCCATATGTGGCTATTTAAATTGAGATTACAAAACTCAGTTCTTCAGGCCACTAGGCACTTTTCAGGAGCCTGACAGCCACCCGTGGCTAGCGATTACTGTGCTGCACCGTGCAGACAGAGAACATCTCCACCACTGCCAAAATTCTATTCCATGGCGCTGTCTAGACAGTGATCAGGAAAGGCTGCTAATGTCACAAAGAGGGACTACCAGACATTATGTGTCTCCTGATATGATGCAACAAGTATACACTACCACTTATGACATAGTCTTGCAAAACAAACAAAAAAATAAAGCCTGAATCTGGCCAAGTCTCTAGACTTAACAATCAATTTACAGGAAATACAAGACTAAGTAGACTTGGTTAATACCACAGTGATACAAACAGCAAAAGTGAAGCTGTGGGAAACTCAACAGGAAAAATGAATTGGTTTCCTTAACAGATAAACCGCAAGGGAAACAAAAGAGATGGAAAAGGATCATATAAATATAATAGAGACTTAGACATCCAATAGCAATATATGGGTCTATTTTGGATTTCAACACAAACAGACTGTATGAAAAAGTGATGAGACAACTAAGAAGATTTGAACAATGATTGGATACATGATATTAAGGAAGTACCACTGATTTTTAAAGGTACATGAAAAGTATTTTGGTTAGTTTTAAAAATCATTATTATTGAGATGCACATTCAAATACTTAGTTGATGGCATATGACTAGAATTTGCTTCCTAACAGTGTTCCAACAGGACAAATGAATTGGAGAGGAACAGTGTGAGTGGGATAAATTAAGATTGGACCTGTGTTGATGGTTACTAGGGTTGGAAGACTGGTCCATGGAGGCTTTATTGTTCTGTTCTTCTGTGCCTTGTTTCCTTTTCTTACTGGGATTATGAACTCCTAGAGCTCCCTTATCTTTGCATTTTCTACTACATCTTGACATTGTTCAACTTGCTAACTGTGAGGTCAAACTTTTAAGAGGGTGAAGAGAGCTCCTTTCAGTGGGATGACCTGTAGCTCTGATGAGCTGGGGAGCTTGAGGCTGGGCCAGGTTTGTAATCCCACCGTCTTCCAAGGAACCTCACAGAGCAGCATGGCCCCTGTCAAGGTGGAGGGCATGGCTGGAGGACAAGACAGCATGCCTTGTCAAGGAACATGGAGAGACATGCTGACACTCAACAACCCGATTTTCCTCAAGGCTCTTTCGGGCCACAAGCTAGGCTCCATGGTGGCAGCCTGCAAGCTTCAGATTCCCATACACTTATCAGAACTGGGTCTGCCTGCCAGACAGGTCACAACTTGGGTGGGGCTGTCTATGAAACCAGGCCTCTAACCTAAACTTCTCATTTCTTAACTATCCACGGGTGTCTGAAGACTTTCATCCTCAGTTTAACATTGCTGAGGACGCGAAGGTACTTTGAAGAGGTCAGACCAGTGTGATGAGCCCCCAGCCCATACCCCCACTCCCCGACACACAAACTCCAAAGCTCACAGTTATGTAAAACCATTTGTTTAATTCTGAATCAAATCACTTTAACAGTGAAAATTAGTGACTGGTCAAGGTGTGCCACTGTACACGGTGTTGTTTTCTGACTGTGGTTGGGACCTGGTCTTGATCCACAAAGGTGGCAGGAGGGGCTGGGCACCAAGAACATAGAAACACACACAAAAGAAAGGAAAACTGCCTCGGCAGAGAGGCAACATGGTGAGCCTGCAGGGGGGCGGTTGGAAGGGGGCTCCCTGTAGGGGCTGGGCCAGCAGTCCCAAGTCGGCTCTCCTGCCCCAGCTCCTGGCAGAGGGCGAGTGGGGACCTGCAAGGTTCAAGATTAGCACAGGGCCAACCTGGCTTTGCTAACAGGTTCCTGGGGTGCCTTTGCTGGTGGAGCTCTCCTGGGCTCACTCCACTTCACTGAAGAGTCCAAATTATTTGTCTTCCTACCTGCAATCCTTCTTTCTTTAACCTTTCGTCTGCAGACCCATTTCTGTTGGATCCTTCCAACCGAAGTCCTCTTGCCCATCACTAGGTGGGACCATCACACCGAGAAACTTCAGGGGCCCTCACACTTTGGGGATTTCCAGAGGTGATAAAAAGGGCACTCTTCAGTGGGCGCCCAGAGAATGTTTAAAATCCATCAGGCACGCTGTAAAGCAGGTGGCTTATTCCTACCAATGGGTTCAGTAAACGAACCACCTATTCAATACTTGTGTTTTGTCGGTTTGAACACTGAGCTCTGGCACTGAAAGGCGGAAGGGGTTGCAGTGGAGAGGGCAGAGGGCTTCCCTCATCTTCCTCCAGGTCTTGGTTTCCACAGGCTGTACAGAGTCGTATCTGGAACACACATCAGGTGGGGCTCTCAACTGGGGTAAACCTAGGAGCAGTGTGGACCAGTGAAGGGACAGAGAGCCCCAGAGTAAATCCACCTCCCCCACACTGAGGGTCTTTCCTGTAAGAGACTAGATTTCTAGGAAGAGGCCAGACCGGCAGAGTGAAAACCATCCCAGCCGGTAAACTGGCCTGCTGCCGGCACCACACTTCCTCAATCAGATTCAGAGGAAGAAGCTTGTGAGATTGAAAATCAGATCAAGGGCTGGGGAGGAATGGCTTCCCTGGACGTTTCCAGGGGAAGGTTTCCACGGGAAGACCGCATCCTCTCATCATGCTGAGGCTCCTGGTCTCTGCGCCCGGTTCTACAGAACACCAGGGGCTGCCTGCTCTGGAGCCGCATGCTCCCCTGGGTTCAGCACACACAGGGAAGGCCTTGGAGCCATACCAAAGTCAGAGCCACAGGCTGGTCCCCCGTCCCTGCCTCTTCGTTAAGGACACTCTGGTCTGAGGAGAGTGGTCTTCAGCATGCCACTGGGATGACTCAGCACGGCCTCCCGGTCTCCTCTGGGGGGTCTGCAAGAGGATGCACCCAGAGCTTCTGTGGCCTTTGGGATGGCTGCTTGTTCAGTCCTCTCTGCATCCAAGCTCGGAACCCCACCTCAGTCCCACAGCAGGTCTCTCCTAAGATGCAGTCGGTCCCGGGCTCGGCAATCACCTGGGTTGGTGCCCCCAGACAGGAGGCAGATGTGCATAGTTCTGGAGGGTAAGGTGATGGGCAACCACATGTCTCTGCGGGTAACCTATGTCAGGAAATCAGGAGGTCATTCAGGCCACTCTGGAGCCAAAGACATTGAACAAGGCCCAGAGGCAATAAATCTTTGGGTCTCTGGTGAGTTCATGAATCAACCCCAGCTCCAGCTGCTGCAATTAGGATCTTAACAGAACAGCAATTTCACGCATCTCTGCTGAGGAGGAAGAGGAGGAAACAGGACAGAACAGCACTGGGAAGCGGCAGCAGAACCTCTCTGTTCGAGGAGTCCCACTGATTCCAGAGGCCACTCACCAAGGGGTATTTAAAGAGATGGAAGAAAGTTTCCACATTGGGTTCATCCCTTTGTCTTTGTAATGTTAACTTCGGGTGAAATTGGACAGTTCTTCTCCTGCTTCTCCCCTGTGTGGAGTCAGGACCTGCTGAGCTGGCTGGAACAGAATTTCATGGTGTAACCAGTGAGAGACCAACTTGATGCCAAGGCCTGAGGTTACAGCAGGATGTTTACAGCAGTGGCCAGACTCCAGGGTCCTCAACGGCTGGTCTTGAGTCCGAAAGCTCTGATGGAGAAGCAAGACTCTTTGATGTGTCGCTAACCCCACTGATTCCAGGGGTCGGGATTAGCCAGGAAGTCAAACATCAAGAGTGGGGGTGGCGTGTCACCGGTCCAGAGGCCCTGCCGTGGATGTGGGCTGGGAGCCCAGCATTAGGCAATCAATAGCCAGAACATGATCACCAGGGCCACAAACAGGAAGAGGCGTGAGAGGAACTGCTCGTCCACGTACTGGGGCGTTCCCGGGACAGCTGGAGGGACACGAGGGAGGAGAGAGGCTGTGAGAATGCTGCAGCTGTACACACTGCCTGCTGGGGTCAGAAGTCCAGAGCATCAGCCTTCGTCTCTTTACAACAGAATCCTGATACACTAAAAATATTTCCAACCCCAAATAATATCAGACAAAGCAAAATTATTTTAAAAATGTGGAATCATGTAATAATGAGGATATAACTCTTCAGTTTATCCTAAGAGGGTTTTTGCCTGCAGGTACACATAAAATAGCAAAGTCTTGGAGGAAAAAAAGAAAAGAAAAGCTACTATTTGTTAAGAATCTGAAGTGTGCTGTTTATAGTGTACACACTACGGCCTAATGGGTACTTTTATCCCATTTTGTGTAAGAAGAACTGAAGCACAGGTATGAGGGGGACCTTCCCAACATCTTGAGGCCCATGAGCTGGTGGAGACCCCGCAGCTGTGCTCTCAGCCTCTGCACACCGCCTCCCGAGTCAGGAGTCTCCGGGTTCTGGCACTGGTGAGTCAGGAGGGGTTTCAGGGAGCCCTGTGTGGGGTGTCTTCCTTTTCCAGAGGCAAGAACTAGAGCCCAGACAGACAAGATGACCTGTCTCCCTTAGTGCACAGCAAACTCAGGGCAGAAATGGGCTGAGAACCTGGGTCTCCACTCCTCTCTGCTCTGAGAAAAGCTATGCAGAGCTCCTCCTCCTGCCTGTGGGGCAAGGAGTTAGGAGAATCTCCATCCCAGATGGGCAAACTGTACTCAACACAACAGGGAAAACCGTCTGTGACTGGGGCAGGGGGATGAAGTGATCTGAGGTCAGCCTGGCTGTGAACTCTGTGCACCTGGGAAATCCCAGGCGAGGCTGGGCCAGGCTGGATGGAAACATGCTCCCAGGCAAGTGCCTGCTCCTTCCCAGCACCCTGACCAGCTCCTGCAGAGCAGAGAACACCCGGCACTTTGGGATCTCTTTCCTCTGGTAAAACAGCAGATGAGGAGAGGAGAAACTTCTGGGGTGGATGAAGTCAGGAAGGGCAGTCCCCAGATTGCGTGGTGCCGAGCTCCTCCCCAGTGAGGCACTCTGGTGGAGTCAGGCAGGCTGGCAGGCAACAAAGACTTGTTGACTGTCTGCCACGTGCCAAGCACCAGGGTGGAGGCAAGAGAAGAATGGACAGCTCAGGAGAGGCTACTGTCCTGAGAGCATAAGCTCCTGGTCCGGAACCACGCACTGTGCCCAGCACACTTGAGGCCCCGGTGAGCACAAGCAGCGCTCAGTGGCCCTCGGCAGCTCCAGGCCCGGGCATCAGACTGTAACAGAGCCCAGGGCATCTACCTCACCACCCTGCCATACACTGAACGAGCTGGCACTCAAGCTGGCTGAAGGGACAAAGGCAGAAGCAGGTGGCAGACCCCAGCAGAGTTCCCAAAGGAACAAAGGGTGGGATTTAGGACCAGCCGCACGTGTGTCCTGGGGGAAACTGGCCAGAGATGCTAGAATCCAAAGGTCCTGACTCCATGCAGTCTTCCTGCCCTCCCTGCCACCAGTGGTCAAAGGTGAGGGGTACGTGCCCAGGACGATGCTTCTACTCAGCTGGTACAATTTATCCCTTTTCATTTTAGTGGCATAGGATATATCTTGGGAAACTACTGAGTGTTTTCTGATTTGTAAAATGGAGCTGACTGCACCCCTGTCCCACGGGTTCATCGTGAGGACCCCCAAGTTTATGATGCAAAGCACTCTGAATGTGCCTAGTGCTTGGTAAGTGTGCAATGTCATGACCAGGACTACCAGTAATTTGAAAAGAGTTTAGCACATTTTGAAAAGCCTGATTATCCAGGTAGTAACAGACATACTGCACAATTCCAAGCAGTCTGCAAGCAAAATTACCAAGAGAAAAGGGTCTTACCTGGAGGAGGCCGCCCATCATTTATGTTAAATGCTGTGGCAAATATGCCAAAGGGAAAGGCCCCAATTCCAAAAGACATCTGGAAGCCACCATCTCCGAATCCAAACCCTTGGAATCCCTGTGTGGAAGAGATGCAATTTAGGACCAGCAGGTTTCTCCCGTACCTGTCACACGTCACCTTACATACGAGTGGCACCTCCCACACTCTTTTCCTCCCTTCTCAACCCCAAGGCAGAGGAGCTCTGCCCCTCTGCCCTTCCAGGTGGCCCAGCCAAGGAGCTGTTAACGCCAGAAAGGACTGGCTCTGGCCCAAAATAGAACTCTCTGCTGATGCATGTGAGGGTTCTCAGAGCTCCAGGGCTTCTTTCCCAGGGTCCCACACTAGCCAGTAAAACTTTTCATGCTTTGTAACAGCCGAAGTGGCAATAACCCCTATGTCCAATCACAAAGGAACATAGAACAAGCTACACACTATCTGTAACAGCAAAAGAAAGTGGAACCATAATTAGCCAACAATGGAGACCATGATCAAAATTTCCATACATCCTCCCAAAGAACGGTACAATGACTATGCAGGAACATAGAAAGACTCTTGTGACAAGTTATCAGATAAAACTGTTTGCACACCGTGATCACAAGTATAAGACAATATGTACACAGGTGGAAAAGATATGGATAAGTATTTTACCTCAAATTTTTCTTTTAATATTGTCACAGAGAATTTTAAGACTTCAAAACACTTTTTCTCCTGATTACAAAAGTAATATATGCCTGCTATGAGAAATTCACATATTATAGGAATAAATGACATAGAAAGTCAGAGATCTCCTTGTTCACCCTCCACTTCATAACTCCTCCCTGCAATGATCACTGTCTGCAGTCTGGTATCATCCTCAGCTTTTTTCTCTATAATGTGTTCTACACGGCATCATCTTTCACATGAAAAGATTCAGCAGGAACTGAAATACTGTAAATAGGTTAACACCTATTTTCTAAGTGCCAACTTTGTGCTGGGCACCAAGTGAAGCACTGGGATATTCAAATCACATTTAATTCTTATATCAGCATCACCCACATTCACAGGTGAACAAACCAAGGCTCAGAAGTGAAATAACTTGACCAAGGTCACACAGCTGGTAACGGGTAGAGTTTAGAGCTGAAACTAGATCAATACGGTCTGAAAGTCCATGCTCTTTTTTCCCTTTTTTAATATTTGGCTGCACCAGGTTTGCGCTAGTTGTGGCATGTGGGATCCAGTTTCCTGACTAGGGATGGAACCTGGGCCCCCTGCCTTGGGAGCTCAGAGTTTTAGCCACTGAACCACCAGCAAAGTCCCAAAGCATATTGTTTTTCTTTTAATTTTATTTTTTTGGCAGCACTGAGCGGCATTTGGGATCTTAAGTTTCCCGACCAGGGATCGATCCCGAGCCCCCTGTAATGGAAGTGCAGAGTCTTAACCACGTGAACCGCCCCCCTTCCCCCGCCATGTTCTTAATTATTGTGCACATCTTAAAAAAACTTTCCTCCTCTGCATCTGTGGGTAGATCCTTAGAACAAATGATTTTAAAATAATTTTAGTAAGAAAAATTGTTGGGCTAACTGCTCTCCACAAAAAGCTGACTGGCCTGCACGTGTGAGTCTTTCGAAGGTCATGGAAGTGGCTGCCCCATCCCTGAGTGTAGCCTGGCACCTGCTCTGAACTTCCTGCTGGGCAGCACTATCTATAAAGCCTAACAGCTGATTTTGATAAGAGGGCAAATGTACAGGGAAGGAAAACAACTGGTTTCCATCTCCTTGGTACAGAAAAGCCTCCGACTCAGAGCCAGCCTGGTGGAGTCTGAGGGCTCCCAGGACCAGGGCAGCCTTACCCAGAAAGGTGCAACAGTTTCATCAGGAACCACCACCTCATTCAGGGCCAGCCCAAGAACTGACCCTCTAGCCCCACTTCCAGCAACACCTGTGTAACCCCACAAGTCCTTGCATGTGGTGGGCTTATGCTCCTGGGGCAGAGAAGGCAAAGCCTGCCTGGCAGCTGTGAGTGGATGCTGGTCGACATCAGAGGTGCATCGCAGTTTTCACAGCCAGGGCCTCCGCCTTCCTGGGGCCTCGGATGACTGTGTTAGGAGCAATGCTCTGCCGGGAACCAAAGCCTGGGACAGTTAACATGGGGTCATCTGGTAGTCAAGAGCCAGGACCTCAATACAAGCCTGGTCTAGGTTTCAGCTTTGTTTGTGTGGCCCTGGACAAGTCACTTCGCAAGCCTCAGTCTCCTCTTCTGTTCAGTGGGTTGATGTGAGGTTTAAATAAGATCATACAAAAAAAAAAAAAGATCATACATATAAAGCCTTAACATAAAGTTCTTTACATATAATAATCATCCGTCAAGTGTTCACTGCTGTTATTAAGATCCTCAATCTGAAAGCAACTAAAAGGTCCTTCAATGAAAACAACCAAATTATAATGCCTCAAAATTCAATGAAATAAGTGTTTTTTTATTATTATTAAAACTAATAAAGAGGACACTAAGAACATCATGGAAAATGTTGTCAAAATTAAATTTTAGCATTGGTAATCAGCTATACCCCAATACAAAATAAAAAATTTAAAATAAAAAAAAATTTTCTTGAAAAAGAAAGCAGAATGCTAATGGCTACATAAAAATATACATACACAAGCACATGGACGAAGAGAAGATGGGGAAATGAAATATACTTGTTTTGTGCAAATTTAAATGTGCAAATTTTTAATCCAGTAACTCTACTTCTAAGAATTTATCCCAGTAATCATGAACCTGCAAAAAATTTATAAATTCATCAAAGGGGGAATTCTCTGGTGGTCCAGTAGTTAGGACTTGGTGTTTTCACTGCCGAGGGCCTGGGTTCAATCCCTGGTTGGGGAACTAAGATCCTACAAGCTGGCTGTGCAGTGTGGCCAAAAAAAAATTCATCAGAGTATTTTTTAAATATAAAAAAGAAAAGGAAGCAGTTAGATATCCATTCAATCCAAAGGATTAAATAAATTACATTAAGTCCATCTGAACACTTAAACGGCCAATTAAGTAAAATATTACTGATGCAAAATCTCAAGATACATCATTACAAACCCCTCCCTCTGAGGATACTTCTCACTGTATTGTGCCTTGCTTTACTGTGCTTCACAGACACTGTGTTTTTTACAAATGGAAGGTTATGGCAACCCTGCATTAAGTCTGTCTATAGGCACCATTTTTCCAACAGCATTTGTTCAATTTATCATATTTTGCTAATTCTTGCAATATTCCAAACTTGTTCATTATTATATTTGTTACAATGATCTATGATCAGTGATCTTTTGTGTTACTACTAAGACTTGCTGAAGATTCAGATAATAGCATTTTTTAGCAATAAAGTATTTCTTAATTGAAGTATATACTTTTTTTGGGCCATAATTTAATTTACTGTCTAAAAATTATGTCTACTTATTACACATTTAAGAGACTATAGTGTAAACATAACTTTTATACACACTGGGAATACCAAAAAAATTGTGTGACTTGCTTTACTGTGATACTCACTTTACTGTGGTAGTCTGGAACTGAACCTGAAATATCTCCCAGGGATGCCTATGAACTCCATAGACACAAGGATCTTTAGTATGTTCACTATGTACATCACCAGTGCCTAGATTAATGCCCAGCATACAGAAGGCATTAAATAAAATTTTAAAAAGAAGTATTTTTAAAAATAAATTTTTTAATTAAAAAAAAAAAAGAATAAAATTTTAAAAGAAGGTTACAAAACAGGAGCCAAATGCTATAAGAATAAAAACCCATGTATACAAACAGATTTATCTGTAAAAGATACACACACATAAATAAATCTATAAAGTTTGTGTACACAGATAATTATAGAAAAAAAAAACAGACCAAAATGTTTCCAGTGGTTATCTCTGGATGGTGTGATTACAAGTTATTTTCTCCCCTCTTTTCGTTCCTATATTTTGCAAATTTTTCTTTACTTTTGTAATCAAGGAGAAAAAGTGTAAGGCCAAGAGGGAAACTTCTAAAGCCAGGGGCTCATTTCAAAAAGGTTTGTTCTAGAAATTTCCTTACCCCTCTGTTCTCCGGCTCTGGCCTCTGCCCTTGAGGACGGGGAGGGGTCTTCTCTCTGAAAGAAATGGTATAAAGTCAGTCCATTAGGAAATGCTTTGATCTGTTTCCTGAGTGGGGGAGCCCTTCACCAATAAGGTCAAGGCCAGGGCCCCTTTTCATGCCCTGCACATGAACCAATGCCAAGTCAGATCAACTGATCACAGGTATCAACTCTGTGCTACCTGCAATTGCCTTTCCCTAGTGTATAGAAAACCAGAGAGAAAATCCACTTCCTACAAGATGCTCATCAGATTGCTCTTGGCTTACTCCTCTAATAAAGAGCTGGACCCAGACTGGTTATGACTGCCAGTGGGTCACCGTGTCAAAAACCCCAAATGCAAACTGGAACAGAAGACGGCCTATCAGCAGAGAGGGCTGAGATTCAGGGTCTCTCTGTTCCGCCCCATCACCTTCAGCTTTACCTCCCACTACCCTTGGGCAAGTACTTCACACGCTTCTTTTGCCTCTGGGTCCTGGCCCCTTCCATCCCTCACCCTACAAACACTGGACTGAGGGCTTATTACCCATCAGGCAGTAGGCTCGGACAGACCCTACTTCTGAGATGCTTGTGGATTAAAGGGGGCTACAGCCAATCACACTACTGTATAGAAGGGGCTTCTTTAATGGAGGTGCCAACTAAATGGAGCAGGGTGCAAGCGACTAAAGAGGGGAGGGAAGGCGGCTTCAAGGAGGAGGTGACTTTAGGGCTGCTCATTAAAGACGGAGAATTTAGAGGAGGAGAGGGGAGTTGAGCAGGACCGACAGGGAAGAAAGGGCAAAGGGACAACAAATACAAAGGCTCATGAAGGTGAAAGGGTGTCCCTTAAGGGAAGGCCAATGTGTCTGGGTACAGGGTATGCTGGAGTGGGGCGGAAGGTTGAGAGACGCTGCAGAAAGTTCGGGGGGAAGAGAGAACAAGAGTCTGTGTGTGTCTGTGTGCGCGTGATGCAGGAAGAGAGAGAGTGAGTGAGTGTATGTGTGGGGTGGGGGGAGATGCAGGGAGAGAGAGTGTGTGGGGGAGGAGCTGAGGGAAGAGAGTGTTGTGTGTGCGCGCGTGCATGCACCACACCATGCAGGCTCTCAGTACTTGTGTCTACAGCATGCCAGACCTGCTCATGCCTCCAGCTCCAGAAATCTCAGACCCCAGAAAGTCTCCCAGTCCCGCTCCCTCCCGCTGACTCTCTGCATCACTGCTACGGCCACCGCCCTCCCTGCAGATCCTCCCGCTGGACACCCTGCTTCCCGGGCTCCCTCGCAGCACTCTGCACACCTGCAGTGGGGGAGTCCAGCACGCTGCCCAGCACACGACCTGCCCACGAGCAGGTGCTCAGGGCACGTCTGTGTTACAGCCCAGCAAGTGGTGACCTGGCTCTGCTCCCCTCCTGGCTGACTCCCACCTGGGTCCCAAGCGCCTGGAAACTGAGGGTCTCTAAGCACCTACTAAAGGGTGGGGCTGAGGGATGCTGAGTGGAAGTGAGTCTGCGTCCCCGGGAGCAGTAAGAGGGGCCCCATGGACTCACCTGGGATCCTGCTGCCCGGTGCTGCCCCTGCCATAGAGCGGAATGACCTTGTCGCGGCTGATGCCAGCTTTGCAAACTGGACACACCTGTCTGTTAGGTCTCGTCTCCAACCACTGCAAGCAGGAAAGAAAAGTGCAGGAAGGGAACAAGCCCACCAGGGTGGTCCGTCAGAGCCAGCAGGGGGGCTACAGGGACCAGAGGCCCCACACTGGAAACATGAGCACCAGCAAGGAACATCTCAAAGAACCCAAGTCTCTCATCTTGCACCTGGCACTTGATAAATATTTACTAGTGGTGCAATCAAAACTACCTTTAAATGCCATCATAATTAAACAGGCTTTCTAATGCTTCATTCTCTCATGGGGCTTCCCAGCAGGAAGAAACTGCAGGCCTGGAGCTGTGTCAAGAGGTCTGACAGATCTAGTCTCAGGTTAGGTTGTAGATGTAACAAGGGTTTCCCAGGTGTCATAGAAACTGCAAAGTGAAAGTGAAGTCGCTCAGCCGTGTCCAACTCTTTGCGACCCCATGGACTGTAGCCTACCAGGCTCCTCCATCCATGGGATTTTCCAGGCAATAGTACTGGAGTGGATTGCCATTTCCTTCTCCAGGGGATCTTCCCAACCCAGGGACTGAACCCGGGTCTCCCGCATTTTAGACAGATGCTTTACTGTCTGAGCCACAGGTGTCACAGTGGTAAAGAATCCACCTACCAAGCAGGAGATGTAGGTTCAATCCCTGGGTGGGGAAGATCCTCCAAGAAGAAAATGGCAACCCACTCCAGTATTCTTGCTTGGGAAATTCCATAGACAGAGGAGCCTGGCGGACTATAGTCCATGGAGTCGCAAAGAATCAGACATAACTGAGCACGCATACCTAAGTGTAACAAACTTTATTTTTCTTTTTGGCCATGCCCTGTGTTATGTAGGATCTGTTTCCCGACCAGGGATTGAATCCCCACCCCCTGCATTGGGAGCACAGAGTCTTAACCGTTGGACCCCAGGAAGTCCCAATATAACAAACTCCACCTCCCCTAACAGATCAATTGTATGATCCTGACAGTTATATTTTTCTGTTTCTTGTTTTTACAGCATTTCTTCAACAACTATGTACCTTAGTCATCAGTATCTAGACATAAATTGACCATTTTCTGGTTATTTACTATGTGCTAAGGATAGATTTTTCTTATTATCTAAATTTACTTAGTGTTTTTTATGCACTTTCATTAATTTTTGCATTCAACTACCTCTTTCAAAATTAAAAACAACAATCCCGTTTTGAGTTTTCTAGGTCCTTTCCCTGGTTGTATTAAAATAATTTTGTTTAATTTTCTCAAAAACAAAATTAAAATAAAAATACATTACATTAGTGTCTTTGTAGACATTAGATACTTATTTATAATCTCTCTCTGTATGTATATATACACACATAAACACACACTCAATATTTATCTTAAAGCATAAATGGTACCTTTAGACACAGTGATATGTAGTTTATCACATAAATGTGAATCTAGAACTTCAGGGCAAGGCGAACGTAGCATCCGATGACTTTATATCCTATTGCCTTTATTTTACTGTCAAAAGCATGAAAGTGCGCTGCGTGCTCTCTATCGATTTAGAACAGACGTGCTCTACCCGGTTCCCCTGGGGTCAGAATGCAGAGCCGGAAACGCAGTGGAAAGCCCTCTTGCTTCCTCTGCTTCTCCCATTCAGATTCGGAGGCTCCAGCGGTCTGGAACTTCTAACCTCCCCCTACATTCCCAAGCCACCTACGAGTACAGGGCTTGACTGCCAACAACCATGGAGACTGTCAGCCAGCAGAGATTATTCACAGCCAGCCAGGCCCCGCTCTGTCCCACCAAGCAGGCGCCTGGGTCTTGGAGAAGACTTACTAACTGGTTTTCATAATAATCAGATGCCGGGAAAACAGACTTCTTCCCTCTCATAGAAGCTCTCCATTGAGACCAAAAGAGTTCTCCCCTTCCTAGTATTTTCAAGGTCTTTAAGGCTAGAAATATTGTTGATATGATGGGAGGTACTTTTTATAGAAGCACAATCCCAACAATAAAATCTAACATACTATCACATCCAACCTGATTTACACATGAGGGAATGAGACCCAGAGAGGAGCAGCTTGCCAAAGCCACAAAGGCCACTGGTAGCAAAGTCAAGAGCATCCCAACTGGGACGCCACTGACCTCCTGTTTCATCAAGTGGCTGTCAGCAGGCAGGTGTACACACAGAGTTGGGGGGGAATGCAGGCAAATGAGCCCACAAGCAGGGGAGATTGCAGCTGCTGACAGCACTCTCCTGAGACCAGGGGTGTCTTGTGCAACCACAGCTGATGAAAGACAAAGTAAAATGAAATGCATCTTACCTGATGTAAACACGGCCAACTGCAAGAGTCCCCAGGGCAATCATTCATCAAGGAGAAAGAGAAAGGGGGAAAGGTAAAAAAAATGATTTCGTTAACAGAAACACTGGGTAACGTGGGAGCAGAAAAAGGGGCAAAAGGATTGAACTGAGGAGCACTGAAACCCACTGAGGGTCTGTGGCGATTGCTGGTATCAGAAACTAGGAAAACTGAGCTAAAGCCACAGAGCAAGGGAAGCAATGGAGACAAGATCCTAGTCTCTACCCTCGGAGCCCCACTACTTATGAAGATCCCCAGGTTCCAGACCATCCCAAACCCAGCTTCTCTACAAATCGACCTTCGGGGGGTTACGACCTCTGAAGGAAACCAAAAAAAAGCTAAAGATCCTCTGTGCAGGGAAGTTCACAGGGGCATCCTCACACACATGCACATGCACACATGTCCTATTTAGACTCAACTTCAGTGCGTTCACAGCCTCCTCAGCCTCACAAGGAAGGTGGGATCTAGACCCAGTTTAACAAAATCTTCAGGCTGTCCTCAGCCCGGAGAGCGCTGCAGGCAGGAAGCAGCTTAAAAGTTCAAGTGCACTGTAAAGACATCTTGAAATAATGGAAAGACTGGGACACTGCTTGGCAGAAAGGTCCACCTCCAGCTTAGGGAGAGATTGCTGCCTGATTTCTCATTGTACAAATGAAGAAACCAAACTCTGAAAAATGAAACCACTTGCCTGTGGCACCAGGACTAAAACAGAAGTCTGGGCTTCCCTGGCTCAGTGGTAAAGAATCGTCCTGCCAATGCAGGAGACATGGGTTCAATCCCTGATCCAGGAAGATCCCACATGTCACAGAGCAACTAAGCTCATGCACCACAACTGCTGAAGCCTGAGCATCCTACAGCTTGCCATCTGCAATGAGAGAAAAGCCTGCTCAGCAACGGAGATTCAGCACAGTCAGAAGTAAATAAAACAGAAGTCTTCTGGCTTCCAGTCTCCTGTCCCTGTACTGCCCAGCACTGGGCGCAAAAGACATGTACAGAACTGAAGGGAAAGTTACTCTACCTCCAGATTTAGTCTTTCTCTCTTCATTCATTCATCCACTCAACTAACGAGTATTTACTGCATGCCTACCAGGTGATGGAACAGTAGAAAACGCAGACATAACCTATCTTCTCTGGACTCAGAGGATAATTCCTTTCCCAATTACTGAACAACACTTCAGCCTCACAACCCAGACACATAACCTCCCTGGACATGACAGACACTTGACTCCAACATTAACCCTGCAACTCCATTCCCAACAGAGCAGAGGGCACCCCAAACTGTGGCAGCTTCCCTCACAGGCTGCAGGGGAGAAGACGGGGTGCCTCTCCAGGAAAAATTCTGGATTCTAACAATGATGATGGTCACTCCCAGGCAATAAACCACCACTGTGTGCCGGGCTGTGGCTGAACGACTCTTCCTGTATCAGTGTCAACAGTCATCACACCAACCTTCGAGGGACTGCAACTGTTTCTGTTTCACAGACAAGGAAGGGGGTACAGAGTAAGGACAGCAGATTTGCTTGGGGACAAACCACTCGGGTTGGAAGCATCTGTTTCATTTTTGAATCTGTTCTTTCCAACGGTACCCTGACTGAATTCTTAATTTTTTTCAAATCTTGGTTTTATGATACCTGAGTCACAAAACTAGAATATCTTCCATTTCTAAGAGAGGGCTGATGACAAAGTTTTTGCATAAAACTTAATAATCAGAGCAAAAGCCTCCTAAAAAAAAAATATCACTAATAAATTTATCCTTTTCTCTGCTGCCAATTTAAACTTACTGACACATTATTTTTATTTATTTATTATTTTTTTATTAGTTGGAGGCTAATTACTTTACAATATTATAGTGATTTTTGTCATACACTGACAAGAATCAGCCATGGTTTTACATGTATTCCCCATCCCGATCCCCCTTTCCCACCTCCCTCTCCGCCCGATCCCTCTGGGTCTTCCCAGTGCACCAGGTCCGAGCACTTGTCTCATGCATCCAACCTGGGCCGGTGATCTGTTTCACCCTAGATAATATACATGTTTTGATGCTGTTCTCTTGAAACATCCCACCCTCCCCTTCTCCCACAGAGTCCAAAATTCTGTTCTGTACATCTGTGTCTCTTTTTCTGTTTTGCATATAGGGTTATCGTTACCATCTTTCTAAATTCCACATATATGTGTTAGTATACTGTAATGGTCTTTATCTTTTAAATGATCCTTTCTTCACACCACTCCTCTGCTCAAAAATATTCAACAGCTCCATGTTCTGCTCAGTCAAATCTAAGTTTGACAATCTGGCCCAATTCTCCTCTAACCGTCTTGCTTCTAATACTCCCCTGCCCACACAGCAGCTTCAGGTCTCACATGAACCTGACCACGCAAACTGCCTGCCTCAGGTGCCACGCTCTGCACCTTACCTGGCTGGCACTCTCATCCCTCTAGTTCCCCCAATTCGCCCCTCAGGGTCCAGCTCAAAAGCAAGAGGAAAAGAATAAATCAATAAAATCTTGACATTCACCCAGATTCTCAGAGCCAGGAGGGGCTTCTGTAAGCACCAAGGCTGAAATGGACACTGACTCTGCCACTTCATTTTGATATACATAAAATATGGTAACAAACATTAGGATCACAGCCAAAACATAACATTTACCACGTGCTCTTCTAAGTCACTGAATGCTCCGAAACAATCCTATAAAATGAAGCACTGTGTGAGGAAGCACCTGGAGGAAAGTGGCAGAGTCAGGATTCAGGGCAAGGTCCTTGCTCAGGACCATTGTGCTGTAACTGCCTCTTGGCTCAGGGCGGCAAGTGGGCATGGAGTAGTGCTCATTAAATGGTGAGCACTGTCACTTTAGCGATGGGGACAGGGAGCCCAGGGTGGGGACAGAACCTGTCCAGGGTCACTCAGTTTATTAGCAGCACGGCAGGGATGAGAACCCAGGCCTCCCGCCTTTGGGCCTGAGTATATCAGGACCCAAAATGCTGCAAAGCTGTCCAGGGCTACAAGCTTTTTAAACTTGGCACGTGTTCCCCAGAAGAACGGAAGGGGTACTGACCAGAAGAGGTGGCCGCACAGGCTGATGACGGCGTCCTTGGCTGTGTCCAAGCAGATGTTGCACTCGAAAGTGCTGTCCTGGCCCCCGCTCTCGCCAGCGCCATTGCTGCTGCCGCTGGGCCCCCCTGCGCTGGAGTTTTCAGGGGACGCAGAGGCCGAGGGCCCCTTGCTTGCCATCCCTGGCTGTCAGCAAGCTCCGAGTGACGATTCTCCCCAGGGAAGCCCTGGAAGGCAGAGACATGATGGCCCATTTCTGCAGCCCACTCCCTGTGGCCCCCTCCACACCAACACCCCCATCTTCTCTCACTTCTGGGAGTTCAGATTACGACTGAACCCCTGAGACTTCCTAGAAGCGGCAGAGGGTGCCAGTCATGGGGTGTCAGCCACAGAAAAATGACTCAGAAACTTTCCGTGAATGTAGCCCAGAATGGACCATGTAAATAACACAGTGCACAAATGGAATACGGCCTCCGCTGGAACCAGGACCCTGTCTCAGTGTCTTTCCATTCTCCCGGGTAATTGCCCAAGTGATAAATACATGCTCAATCAGACCAAAAGTTCACAGGCAGTCCTCTTAACTCTGGACGGCCTCTATGTTGGTGGGTGAGTCTGCTCAGGCCAGAGGATTGTGAATAGCACATACCAGAATACAAAGAAAACCCTGGAGCCGTGAAAGGTTAGGAAACTGGCAAGGACCAAAAAAGTCATCTGGTCCAACATTTTCCACACTGCCATCTTTTGCATTTTCCCTTCGGCTAGGGTGGAATCCTATCTACCTTATTTTGTTTAAATCTACCAACTTTAAATAAAGAGAAGACTTACATCCATGCTGAAAATAGAAAATCAGTATCACCTACCGTAAGTAAAAAATAAATATAAACGTAATGACGGAAAAGCTTTTATCCCTCAGGAAACTGCAGCATGAGACCTCTCGGCTGACTAATGGATGTGGAGCTGAGGCTGGGACTCCTGACAGTCTGTATTCACACCACCACTGCACCACCACAGACCAAGCTGGGCACCACACGGGGGAGAAACAGACCACTGTTCGTTCATGACCATCTCCAGGTCAAAGATCCACCAGGAGTTGAACAAGACCACCACCAGAGGATACTCAGAAATTCTGGGTGCTGAGTAAGAATCTGTCACCTCAGAAGTTCCAAAGGGGAAATGCTAGCTGGCTACCAGTCAGAGAATCAGAGGCTTGGATGCAGGTCACAGATGAGCCTCAAGCTTGCTTGTAGTGGTTCCAAGACCACTCGCTAGGTGATGTTGAAACCCCACCCCCTTTCTGGGCCACGGTTTCCTCATCTGTAAACTGAGGCACTGGACTCCCTGGTCTCCAGGTGCCCCTCCCGTTCTGAGGCTGCTGCTCCAGGCCATCTCGCTCGCTCTCTCCAGTGCAGGTAGGCCCACCACAAGTCTGGGACTCACCGCTGGAGCAACAGAAGACCTCCCTGATTTCAGCTTCCAGGGTACCAGGAGATAAGCACCAAAAAGCCACAGTCTTTTCAGGCCCAGAGCCTTCCTACACACCACGGACTTGGAACTCTGTGTCCACGAGCACCCCGCACCACGACAGCAGCTCAGCGACTTGAGCAGGGAGAGGCAGACAGCTCACCACCACTTTTTCACTCAGTTACATCATTTTGCATAATGTCCCAGAAGAGCAGCTGGCTGCCAGCAGCACAGCGCCGTGCTGGCCTCAGCTCCATGCCCTTCCCCGTGGTCCAGGGCTTCCTCCTCTCCACACATCTGCTGTCTTCTTCACAGCTTGGAGCCCGTCTGTGAGGGCCCCATTATGGCCTTTCTTTGTCATTCCAACTCAAGTACCCTGACACGTGTGTTTCCTAACAAAAAATTATTTTTAAATTAAGGACCATGTGTACAGATATGGAAAGACAACTGTCAGTCAGGTTCACCGATGGATCTTAATGACAGTTGCCCGATGTGATGCAACAGGAAGCACACAGCACCAACAACAAAGCATCCTCGCCTGAGAACACAGACTCCACTCAAGTCTGTGAAACAAATGACGATTTACAGAAAATACGGGGCACAGATGCACGTGTTAAACAACTCCAGGGAGCTGCAACCAGCAAAGTCAGAATGTGGGGGTTTCTACAGGACAAGTAACCTAAGTTCTCCAAAAAATAAACAGCACGGAGTTATAAACTGAGACTTGAGACAAACCAACCACTGGCAGCATGCGGGTCTCACTGGAGCCAGACTCACACAAACCACCTGTATAAAGACATTTGTGAGATGGATGACAAAAACCGACTTAGCATGGGCATTAGTTTATATTAAAGAATTATTGTTAATTTTATTGGTTATGATACTGGCATATTTAAAATATTTTTCACCTGCTAGATATATATGATTAAGTCTTTATGAAAGAATGATAAAATGTTTGGGACCTGCTTTAAAGTACTCGAGGGGGAAAAGTGAAAGTGGAGAGAAAAGATGAAACAAGAACGAGGAAGTTGATGGTTGTTGGAGCTGGATGATGAATGCGGATTCATCGCATTAGTTTATTTATGTGTGCCCGAAAATTTTCCATAATAAAAGGTACTTTCCAAAGAGGTCAGGCTGCAGAAGAATACATGTATGAGTTTATTTAGGGGAGAAGAAATAAATTATATTAATGAGTATACATCCACACATTCACAAAGAAAATGTCTACACTATAAACTATCAACAGTGATTTCTGGGATTAGGAGGGCTGGGGAACCGTGCAGGTGGGGGTCAGAGGTCCTCCCTGTTTATAATACGGACATTTTTACCAGTATTCTAAAGTCAGACAATAACAATGCACTTAAAAGACTTTTCCCCTGATGTTTCAGTTCCCAAACCTGAGAGTTCTGAGCTGAAGTCCTGGCCCCACACTGACCAGCCGTGTAGCCCTGAGTAAGGGCCTTGATGGCTTGAATATCTTATCTCACCCAAAAAATGAAAATGTCACACCTCCTACAGGCTGCTTAGGTGGCCGTATGAGATAACACAGTAACCTGGAGAAGCCACCAACGTAGGAGGGGGCTGCTGCTATGGGGAGATGCATATACATCCACTGACCCTGGCTCACTGCCCTCTCCACTCACTGGCCCTATAAAGGCTCCACACAGCACATTTCCTACAGAGGCCTAAGGGGACAATTGGGGTCATGGCAGGTGTCAGGGTAGGAATGGCCAGGGGACAGTGACAGGTCACCTCAGAGTTTGCAGGGAATAGCAGTCCTGCAGCAGGCCAGGCACTGGGACAGGCCGGCAGGTCCCGACTCTAGGTAGACTATCACTTTCATTCTAATTCTTAGCAGACTGATCTAAGCTCTAGAGCTTTATCCTAGTAGGCACTCAAATATTGGCTGAGTGAGTGGGTGCAGACACGCATGACTGGTTTCAGTCAACTCCCAGCCGGCTGCTCACATAAGCTCTCTCTGCAAAGTACCCTGGGCCCCATCCCCAGAGCCTCCTCTCCCCACCTCCTGCCTTCCCTCAGGCACAGGAGCCTCACCACACCAAGTCAGCAGGGCAGAGATGAGCTGCCTTCCCTGGGGCCGTTCACTGAGCACCTGCAGAACACGATGTGGACAGAGCCTCTGGGACACTGGTCTAGAGAACAGAGGGCCCTGTCAGCTCAGGAACTGGATAGAGTGGAGAGGAAGTAGACCCTGGGCATATGCAAGCTGCCATCCTGCTGAAAGCTGGCCTGGTCCCTACAGGGCCTCGATTTGGACCTGACCACGGAGGAGCCCTGCAGTAATCAGTTATGTGCCCTTGTCCCTACCCCCACCATTCTTCACTCCCGATCTGAACGCACTTTCCTGTTTTCAAAGCACATTCACATCTACTACCGCTTCTGACTCTCACTCCACTTTACAGAGATGTCAGAGGACCTGCCCAAGGTCAGGCCACTGCACATGTAATTCTGTGCCCAATTCAGACTTTCCAACACATCAGCAATCTTTCCACTCTTACCTATTCCCCCTTTAACATGCAGCTTTACAAAATTAAACATCTGGTCTTTGCTTTTCCTCAAATGCATTCCTCTTTTTTGTTCTCTGTAGTGATTGTAAAGCAAACTCACCCTTCATCCATCTATGCCTGAGACCGAAGGATCTCTCCTCCAGCTATAATCGAGGCCCAGTGCTACCACTTGGGGTGACGGAGTCATAAAGAAGAGCAAGACCATGCTGAGTCCCTGGAGTCTAGAATAGGAGCTAACTGGAAGAATCCTTAACAAGGAGCTCCATTAAACTTGCCTGTTTTTCCTAAACAAGGCACCCTCCCAGAGATCTGGTTCCTAGACTCCCTCAGTGATTTAAACAGGACCTGGAACTGGATGGTGGGATCTTTGATCTTTGTTGTAAGATCTTTAGTTGCAGCATGTGGAATCTAATTCCCTGACCAGGGACTGAACCCGGGTCCCCTGCATTGGGAGCGAGGAGTCTCCCAATAGTCTTTACCACGGACTATCAGGTAAAGTCCCAAGAACATGTATTTTAAGTAAGTGGGCCCACAGTCCACTCCAGATGATTCTGATGAAGAGTTCTGGAAAATCAGCTCTCAAATAAGAGAACTCTACCAGAAAGCAGTTTGGAGAGATGATAACCTCAAGGCTTGTCCTTCAGAATGCCCAATCCCCAGCTACAGTCCACAGGGACCACGGAGAGGTCAGGTCAACTCACGGGGTGGGGGGAGGCAGGGACAAGTCTGCTGAGATCTCAGACCAGCCAGCACCTGGACAATCCGTGACAAAGCTGATCATTTAAAGAACAAGTTCACACCTTGCTCTGAAAAACATCTCTAAATCTGAGATGTCCAAGGCACCACACATAATGCTGGGACTAAGGCAGGTTTGTAACACTCCATGATCCCTTGGGAACGCCAAGCCTGGCAGCTGGAGTTGGCTGACCAAGCAGCCTCAACTCCTACGACCTTCCCAGAGCTGGCCTGGCTTACCTCACAGGAATGAAGCAGAAGAGAGAAAGCGAGAGTTGCATATCCCCGAAGGAACAACCAGGGAACGTGAGCTCGTGAAGAAATCTCTTTGCAGTACTCTTGTGCTCAGTTCTCAGGTCCTAGAGAAAACTGCAGGAATGCATAATCTTCCTTCTCTGCCCCTTTAACTCTAAGAATTCCTTGACCAGAGTGTACAGAGGCATCTGGAAAAGTCAG